GGGCAGCCTCCCCAGCGGGGGCTCGGCGAGGGGGCCGGGCGCGCTGATTGGTGTGCGCGCTGCTGAATAATTCATGAGGGAAACGGAGCGGGGCGCGGGCCAGAGTAGCTCTGGAAGTTAGGAGAAAGTTTGGAGAAGGGGGAGGGGAGGCGGGCGTGGTGCCCAGGTCCCGCCCAGGCGTGCACGGTGGCCGTGCGCCCTACCCCGGGCCGCGCGTGTTGGAGCCGGGGCCGAGGGACCCCGAGGACAGGCCCGAACCCAGCAGGCACCGGCGAACAGAGAAACACATCCAGCAAAGCCGCGCGGGGCCGTGTGGACCTGCGCAAAAATGCGCGCTACACGCACAAAGCCCGCGCGGACCTCGCTGCGCACAAGAGATTCCGCTCCTGGATGCACTCGCTACCCACTAGCTGGCTCCTGGGACTGCTTTTGGAGGGGAAAGGGGAAAAAGAAATGGGTAGACGCTTTTGAGGGTGGAGGGCCGCCCCGCGGTCCCTCGGCAGCAGTCCCAGCTACTTGAGTAACCCTACAGCGAACGATCACATAGTCACTCTGCGCGCTAAGCATTGAAGACCCACTGTGCGCGCAGCCTTGCGCGGAGAAGTGTGCAGAAAGGAGGGGGCGCTGGGTTCCAATGAAGAGGGACACAAAACGAGGAAGCAAGGGTAAATAAAAGGGAGGCGTGTCCGAGAGGGCGAGGGGTCGGGGGAGATTTCCAAATCCCCATTCTCACTCTCACTCTCGCGTTTGGGAGGGGCTCCCCCGCCGCCCTCAGCCCTGACCCGGGGGCCTGGGGGCTGCTGCCGCGGTCTTTCCTGAGACTGTTTCCTGTCTGGACCCTGGGGGACCTCGGGATGGCTGAGAGGTGCCTTCCCTCTCCTTGCCATCTGCCCCGTCCATCAGTTAGAGAGGAGCTTCCAGGAAACCCGCCACCCCCTTCTACTTTGGGGCGCCAAGACAGGGATCACGGCGTGGAGGCGAAGGGGTACTGCAGCTGGAGCGGCCGAAGGGTTAGAAGGAAGGGCTTAGGCTCATAAGATAATTACGGAGAACAATGTCTGGAGGCGCTGAGGCGCCCAGAGACAGGAGAGGAGGAGTCTGGGACACTTGGGGGGCTGCCCAACTCCCTAACTGCCCCCCTCCCCAGACAGGATACTGGGCCCGCAGTGACCTCTTGTCCCCGCGTACTTATCTTCCTGACACAAGCGGTGCTGTGCACACCCCTGCCCTTCCTCGTTGCCCTGCCTGGGTCCTGCTCCGGGGTGCGGGGTCACCAAGGGCAGGAAACAGCCTGCTTGGCTGGAGCCGAGCAGACCAGCCTAGGCCGGGAATCCCCTCCTCCCTCCCCACGCAGGCCGGCAGCCCCCCCATTCAGCTTCTCCCTCCACTTTACCCACGCGCACCCCCTCTTGCTCTACACCGGCATCTTCCAGCTTTTCCGTCTCCCCCTGGGCTCTGCCCTCCACCCACCTCAGGCCCTGTTGGCTTGAATGGCCTCACTGGGGGGAGACACAGTGTATCACTCTGCAGAGAGGAGTCACATGCCTGATTGGCAAGGAACTGCAGTGCAAAGGGAAGCCAGGCAGGGTGGAGTGAGGGGCTGGTGTGGCAGAAGGCTAAAGAGGTGAAGTGCCTTACGTCATATTGGAACTCTGCGTATTTGACCCTGGAGACCAATCCCCTCCACCCCCAAACTAGAGGGAAGAGAGGCCGCAGGTGAGAAAACATTCAGAGACTGGCCAGGTAGGCAGGCATGGTGGCACATACCTGTAATCCCAGCACTTGAGAGGCTGAGGCAGGAGGATCACTGCAGAGCTCAAGGCCAGCCGAGGCTACATAGTGAGTTTAAAGCCAGCCTGAATTACATAGCAAGACCCTGTCTCAAAAGACCAAGAAAAGAAAAGAAAAGAAAAGAAAAGAAAAGAAAAGAAAAGAAAAGACTTACCTTTCTGTGGTCATTAGCCCCCTTACTCAGCCTATACTCCAGCTCTTAATGTCTGGCATAGATCTATAAAAGAATGAATAAACAAATTTTATTGAGCAACTACTAGATGTCCAGTGCTGTGAAATAAACCAGGCCTGGTGGCACATAGTTGTAATCCCAGCACTGTGGGAGGCTGAAGCAGGAAGATTGCAAATTTAAGCCCAGCCTATTTGAGACCCTGTCTCAAAATAACAAATGGGCTAAGGACGTAGCATAGAGCAAATGTCTTGGGTTCAATCATCAGTCTCCCCTCCCTTAAGTAAAACACAGCTCTTGGCCTCAAAAAAAAAATCTGGTGAAAATACATATACTTTATAATCTGGTGGGGGGCTAGGGATTTAGCTCAGCGGCACAGCGCCTGCCTAGCAAGTGCAAGGTTGTGAGTTTGATTCCTGGTACCGGAAGAAAAAACAAACAAACAAAAAAATATATATATAATTTGGTGGCTTGCCAGACGTGGTGGCACATGCCTGTAATCCCAGCACTTGGGAGGCTGAGGCAGGAGGATCATTGCGAGTTTGAGGCCAGCCTGAGCTATAAAGTGAGCTCAAGGTCAGCCTGAAATGTGTAGCAAGACCCTGTCTCAAAGACATGCACAAAAAAAAATCTGGTGGATTATCTGCTGAAAGTCCCATGATGTCCCCTTTCCATGGAGATGACATCTGAGACTTTAATGCTGAAAAGTTACACTCAGGTTACTTGGTGGGTATGAAATTGTTTCTTCCACCTACAGACTCTGACCCCTTTCCAGGCAAGCTTTGGTGTCCTCTGAATTTCGTGGCACAGATAGGTGGGCATTCCTGTCACTGCCTGAATCAGTACTTGTTGCAGAGGCCCGAACAAATCTCAGGGCCTCCCTTCCTTGATTTTAGGGCACTTAGCACACTTTGCTGTCCCCACATCCCAAATGTTAAGACTGTCACCTTGTTTCCTGCCCAAGCCATAGGCTGTTTCCACACAGTGTCACACCAATAGTTATAGGGAGCGACCCTAAATAGCACTAGGGTTCCTATCTATTTTTTTATTTTTGTGGTACTGGGGATTGAACCCAAGTCTTTCGCACTGAACGTCATCCCAGACCTTTTTTTATTTTTTATTTGAGACAAGGTCTCACTAAATTACTAACTTGCCCAGGCTCGGCTCTAACTTGGGATCCTCCTGCCTCAGCCTTCCAGAGTGCTGGGATTGTAGTGGTGAACCACCATGCCAGCCCACCAGGCTGTAGGGTTCTCTTTTGTTATCCACAACCATCGGGATAGTCATTTTACCTCACAACAAGTCATCCCTTTTCACCAGGAACTATTGGAAGGCTCACTTCTCATTCTAGCCTCCTGATTCCCGCCCTGCCTAACTCTGCCACTGGGTCCAAAGTTCAAGTTTACCTCAAAGCTCATGAAGTTTAAATTTCAGTGCCCCCTCACCTGCCTGACTTCTTTCACAGCCCTGGTTAATGAATGCCGTCAATTTAAACAGTTCTCCAGATGGGTCACAGGCCAGTATCTTACAGCTCTTAGACAAAGGGACTTTGACAGAGGTGTTGGCATTCGCAAAAATGAGTTGTAAACCTTGAGGAATTTCTCTCTCCCCACACCTCCCTATCTTTACTCTCTCTTTGCTGTGCTGGGGATGGAACCCAGGCCCTTGCACACACTAGCAAGCACTCCTCTATTAGGCTACCCCTGCAGCCCTGTTTGTGCATTTGCCTGCATGTGGCTGACTCAGGAATGTGCTGTGTTTGCCACTGTCAATCAAGAGCAGGTCTGGCCCACGGAAAGTGCTCAGTGATGAGTATTTGTTCCTATTTGTTCTTTTATTGACCATTCTTTTTTTTTTTTTGTACTGGGAATCGAACTCAGGACCTGGGGCTGTGCCGCTGAGCTACATCCCTGGCCTCTTATTGACCATGCTTCCATTTACACAGCTGTGCTTTTTTATTCTGCAGGTGCTGGGAATTGAACCCAGGGCCTTCACACACTCAACTACACCCTCAGTCTTTTGTTTTTTTAAGTTTGAATGGGCTGGAGATATAGCTCAGGGGTGCTTGTCGCACAAGCACCTGCCTGGCAAGCGAAAGGTCCTGAGTTTCACTCCCGGTACCAAAAAAAAATTGTTTGAGACAGGCTCTTGCTACACCATCCAGGCTAGAATATAATTTGAAATCTTTCTGCATCAGCCTCCCAGAATACTAAGATTATGGGCATGCGGCACTACCTGGCTTATTCAGCATTTCATATTTTTTCAGTAGCTAGGTATTGAACAATTACTATGGCCAAGATGGCAAACATGAAGTCATCCTCTGCCTCCTCTGACTAGACAACCCACAGGTAGAACATCCGGGAGACTGCAGCAATACCCAGCAGTTAGGTGCTGAACATATATGGGGCTCACAGAGGGACACAGTGAATCTAGCCTGTGACTTCCAGGAGGTACTGTGGAATGAGTCCCTCAGGAGATGCTGGGAAAGGCATTCAAAGACAGAAGGAACAGCAAAATGCTATATGAGACCCACAGGTAGGGAGGGCGTCCCGTTGCGACAGCTGCCAGAGTTCACAATGCCAGGGCAGCCGGTGCCAGGACAGTGACAATTGTTGAGCTGCAAGAGGGCCAGCACTGGCTGCTGCAGACCTTCCCAGGGCTTATCCTGAACCCCTCCATAGCCACCTGCTTAGGGGCTTCAGGCTGAGAAGTGACACAGTCTGGTTTGCATAGAATGATCTCAGAGAACAGACTGAAAGCTGTTGAGACAGAAAAATCAGTGTATTCCAACAGCAGCATGGGGCTAGGGTGGGCAGAGCTTGGGGCCTGGCTGTCGGTGAGGGAGACTGAAATCACGGATGACCTAAATTCAGACTTGGGCATCAAGGTGAGAACTGGGGACATGGTGGCCATTGTGGGCACGTGGAGTTTTAGGACCTGGAAGTTTTAGCAGACCTGGAAGCCAAGAAGATCTGGGCTCCCCAGGTCTGGAGCTCAAAGACAGCCTTTTGGATGGAGACCCAGGTTTGGAAGTGATAGGCTCATAAAGAGTGGGGTAGGGGGCATGACAGAGAATGCAGAGATTGGGGCCACTGGGGAAAGCTTCACAAACTGTTTCTTTAAGCAGCTGTTAACATTTAAGTCATGCCGGGCATGGTGGCACATGCCTGTAATCCCAGCACTCGGGAGGCTGAGGCAGGAGGATAGTTGTGAGTTCGAGGCCAGCCTGGGTTACAAAGTGAGCTCAAGGCCAGCCTGCACTGCATAGCGAGACCCTGTCTCAAAAAGACAAAAACAACAACCACAAAAACCCTCATTTAAATCACGGAAAAAGAGGGGCTGGGGATTTAGCTCAGTGGCAAAGCACCTGTCTGGCAAGTGCAAGGTCGTGAGTTCGACTCCTGGTACCGGAAGAAAAACAAAACAAACAAAATCATGGAAAAAGAGACAGGTTCAGAAATGACTTGTTGGGTTGGGGATATAGCTTAGTTGCACAAGCACCTGCCAGGCAAGTGCAAGGTCCTGAGTTCAATTCCTGATATCCAAGAAAAAGAAGAAATGATTTGTCAACTGGGTGTGGTAGCACACAGTGCAATCCCAGTGCTCTGGGAGGCTGAGGCAGGAGGATCTCAAGTTTGAGGCCAACTTAGGCAATTTAGTGACTTTGTAAAACCTTGCCTCTAAATAAAAAGGGATAGAGATGGTAGCTCAGTGTGGAGGCCTTGGATTCGATCCTGATCCTTAGCACCAAAAAAAGTAACCTCTCAAAAGTGCTCAAGCCAGCCTGACCCTCTGCTATGTGATAGGGCTCCTGGTCCCACCTCCAAGATCCTCTCTTGCTTCCAGGGCCCAGGCCAGGAACATGCCCCGCTCCCTACCTTCGAGCTGCTCTCTTGCTGAGCCAATACTTTCCACTGGCCATCAGAGGTCTGCGATTTACCCCAGACTTTCCACGGACTCCCCCAATATTGGCGCTGGGAGACAGGAAGGGACCCTGACTGTTGTTGGAATAGCCGGGGTTGAGAAGGAGCCAGGAATGGGAGCGAGCATCTGGGGAGTCCGTGGGAATGGAAAAGGGGAAGGGCAGAGCTGAGCCACAGAGATACCAGAGGACGGGGAGGTGGAGGAGGGAGGCTGGGGCTGGGGGCGGTGTGGAAAGGTGGCGGGCGTAGAGGTAGTGCGAGGCTCATTGTCCCAGCAGGGGGAAGTCTTTTGTTTCCTCTCTTCCCCTGGCAGGATATGAGGCCAAGCCCCCCCAATGCCAGCATCCCCCCACCCACTGGAGGTGGCCCTTCCCTTGCCATTGTGTCCCTGACAGGAATGGGAGTGGGGGCAGGCAGGAGACCGGCTCTAGGAAGGACCCTAAGGGGAGCTGTGTGTGGCGCGGCCGGGGCCAGGTTACCAGGGCACAGGAGGGACCAGAAGCCCCGGGGCTGCTGAGTGGTTTGGCGGGGATGGCTCTGCGCCTGGGGAGGAGCCGGAAGACATCCCTGGGTGGGGCCAGCTCAAAGGGTTGCAGGTTGCTCCAGGAGGAGGTCGGCGGGGCCCCTAGAGGAGATGACGCAGAGCTCCAGGCTTCTCCCAGCCCCCACTTTTCTCGCCTGGGGGCCAGAGAGCTCACCTGAACCACAGTGTCCCCCACCCCCTCCATTCCCTAAGCTTGACATCACTGCGCAGGGCAGCAGGGATCTGGTGAGTTCCCAGCAAATCCAGGTGTTCCGCCCGGGCCCTTCATATCCAGTTCCCTGGATGCCTTCCCTCCCCAGGATCCGGGCGTCTGGCTTCCCTCTGTCCTGGAGGAACCTTGGAATTTCATCCCTCCCCTCCTTTCCCTCCTGGCGCGTTTTGCTCCATCGGCTGTTTCTGCAGGAAGGGCGACCCGCTCAGCCTCAGCCTTTTGTTTGCTGGGTCTGCAGGAAATCGTACAGGCGGTGGCCAAGGGCTCATCTGCCCCAGGGACCTGGGCGGGGGGAGCAGATTCACCAGACTTAATACTGGGGAGCTCACGGCGGCGGGAGTCGGGGGAATCGCCAGGAAATTATTTGAGACCTAATTCAGAGCCCCTGGGCCGATGAGACATTCTGGTGGCTGGAGGGGTGGGCTGGTTCTGTGTGTGTTCAGTGATCCCTAGAACCGGAGCCTGGGCCGATATGAGGATACCTAATGCGGGCTGACACAAAGGGGAGGAAAAAAAACCCATACTGAATCCTACAACTTCAGATCTCAAGTCGTAGGGAGGCGGCAAGCAGGTCCGATCAAGCACGCTAAGGTTTAGGATCCCCTCCCCCCAAACAATGACGGGGACGACCAGCACGTAGCCCCGGAATTCGCGCCTTCCCAGAACACAACTGTAGAAAAAAGGCAGCGGCGCGGACGCTCTGGCGAGCCAGCGTCCTCTCGTTCGTTGCCCTCTCATTGAAGCCCTTTTGGACGCCGCCATCTTCCCTTCCTAGGAAGCGGGGCGGGGCCGCCACGATCTCGTGATTGGCAAACCCGAGGCGGTCGACTGCTTTGCTTTTGGGCAGATGTGGGAGGATTGAGCCACAGGCAAACTGAAATAGTGCGAAGAGCCAGAGATTGTTCTAGGCTTTGGACCTGAGCTGCTGTTTCGTAGAGTTCAGCGTTCTGTTGGGAATAGGCAGTCAATGAGCAAGATCAATAAATAGGGAGGGAAGGGGAGTTTTAAAAGAATTAAGGTGTGTTATGTACATGTGCCGACTCCTCCACTTCGAATGTTGTCTTTATGTACTGAAAATATGGACCAATAAAAATTAGAAAAGTGAGCCGGGCGTGGTGGCGCATACCTGTAATCCCAGCACTCGGGAGGCTGAGGCAGGAGGATGGTTGCGAGTTCGAGACCAGCCTGGGCTACAAAGTGAGCTCAAGGCCAGCCTGAGCTGCGTATCAAGACCCTGTCTCAAAAAGACAAAAAAAAAAAAAAAAAAAAAAAAAAAAAAAAAAAAAAAAAAAAAAAAAAAAAAAAAAAAAAAAAAAAAAAATAGAGACGTGAAATAAATGATATCTATTAAATGCTATGGAGAAAAACAAACAAACAAAAAAATGGACTGGCGAGGAGTGTGTGGTTCAATTTAAAGAGGGATTTGGCTGGGAAGATTTCACTAAGAACAGAATGACTAACTCCAGAAGACCTCAAGGAAGCTCGTTATGTCTGAGCCACAGAGTGGGTTTTTTCCCTCTGCACTGAGGATTGAACACTTCATACTATTCATACTACACCACATACTCAGGTCTTTTTAAATTCTAACTTTTATTTTTTGATTGTTCTGGGGATTGAACCCAGGGCCTTTGCACAGAGCTACATTCCCAGCCCTATTTAATTTTTATTCTGAGACAAGGTGTTCCTAAATTCTTAAATTGCCTAGGCTGGGCTGGAACTTGTGATACTTCTGTCTCAGCCTCCTAAGAATGATTGCTACCACACCCTGCTCACAGAGTTTTTTGGGGGTTGTTCAAAGCACATCCCAGAGGCCACTGTGGGGCATGTACAAGAGTGGAAGAGTCAGAGGGGCTGGGGATTTAGCTCAGCGGCAAAAGCGCCTGCCTGGCAAGCGCAAGGTCGTGAGTTCGGTTCCCCATACCGGAGAAAAACCAAAAAAAAAAAAAAAACCAAAAAAGAGTGGAAGAGTCAGATTGAGGGTGGGGTGCACCATATAATAGGGCCACCATATAAGATAGAGAGTGCTCTGGGACACTTCTGAGCAAAAGGAGACACTGTTAATATTTGTACCATGGGCAGGCATGAACCAGGACTGTAGTTGGTCAATAGAGACACTCTGCTGATAGGGTGGTTGACTTCTACTCTGAGGAAAACAGAAAGGCACTTGGGGGTTTTGGAAAGAGAAGCAGCGTGAGCTGATGCTTGCTTTGAGGGCATCACTAGCTGCTCTGTTGCGAGACTGTAGGGTCAAGGACAGAAGCCAGAGTCAAAGAGGAGGCTATTGCCATGGTGCAGGGAAGAGATACTGGTAGCTTGAGTCAGGGTCATCAGATGCTGTTGGATACTGGCTGTGTCTTGAAAGTAGAGGCAAAATGTATTAGTGAGCTTTCTTTTTGCTGAGATACAATACCTGATACCCACAGTTTAAGGGAGGAGAGGTTTATTTGGCTGATGGTTTCAGGGGATTCGGTCCATGGTGAGCTGGCTCCAAGGTAGAAACGTCGTGAAGGAAGGGCCTGGTGGAGCAAAGCTGCTCAGTTCCGGCAGCCAGGAAGCAGAGCAGGGAAAGAGTGAGAGAGGAAGGGGCCAGGGACCAGACACAGACCCCAAGCTCATGCCTAGAGGTCCCACCCAGACACCCAGAAATGTACTGTACTAATCCCCTGTGCATCTCAGAATCCAGTCAGGTCAGCAGTGAAGCTTAACCACCACATAAAAGAATTGTCAGTGGGTTAGATGTGGGGTGTGAGAGGAGGTATTAAAGTATACCCCCTCACTTTTCTCCTGACCAACTGGAAAGATGAGAAGAGCACTAGAGGGGTAGGTCCGAGCTGCTCACTTGATGTCCAAACAGGGATGCTTATAGGTTGCTGGACATAAAGTCTGCAATTCAGAGTGGAGATCTGGGCTAGAGCTATGTCCTGGGGCACTGTTAAACAGATGGTATTTAAAGCTATGACACAGGGTGAGGTCACCAAGGCAGTGGGTGTAAGTGGTGCAAAGAAATCTGACTACACTTCTAGTGGAATTTCCATTCCACAGTGGCCTCTTGGCTGTTTATCCAGCACTACCTAGGGGTGTCCCAAAGTTAAGATGAGAGACGAGGAAGAAGCAGCAGAAGAGACTGAGCAGGAAGAAATCTTGAGTGTGGGAAAAGAAAGTGTTTGAAGAGAAGGAAATGAGAAGGTGTGCGTCAGTTTGGTAAACTGAGGACAAGAACAGAGATGTTATACTGGCCAGGCAGAAGTCATTGGTGAATCGGTTGGCAGTTTCCCTTTTGCTGAGGAGCAAAAGTCTAAGTGTATGGATTTAAGAAGAAATCAGGTGCTGGGTATGGTGGCACACACCTATAATCCCAGCACTCAAGAGGCTGAGGCAGGGGCTGGGGATTTAGCTCAGCGGCAAAAGCGCCTGCCTGGCAAGCGCAAGGTCGTGAGTTCGGTTCCTGGTACCGGAGAAAAACCAAAAAAAAAAAAAAAAAAAAAAAAAAAGAGGCTGAGGCAGGAGGATCCCTGCAAGTTCAAGGCCAGTTTGGGCTACATAGTTCAAGACTAGCCTGAACTGCATGGTGAGACCCTGTCTCAAAATCAATCACTCACTCACTCTGGGAGCCCGTCGCAGTGGGCTGTGGCACATGCCTGTAATCGCAGCACTCTGGGAGGGTGAGGCAGAAGGATTACAAGCTGCAGCCCAGCTTGGGCAATTTACCAACTTAGCAAGCCCCTGCCTCAAATTTTAAAAGGGCTGGGAGTATAGCTCAGTGTGAAAGCCTTGGTTCAATTCCAGTACAGAGAAAGAGAGAAAGAAAGAATGAATGAATAAGGAGTTTAGACAATTCATCAATTCATAAAGGAGTAAAGAATAAAGAAATGGAGTGTTAGCTGGGGGGTGCAGAAGATGAATGGAATCAAGAAAAATTTTTTTTCTTTATAAGAGAAATAAAGCATATCTGTGTCACCAATGGAGATAACCAATGGGAAAAAAAGCAAGCAGGGCATGGGGGCGTATGCCTGTCATCTCAGCATTTGGGAGGCTGAGGCAGGAGAATCACTGGAGACCCTGTCTCAAAAACAAACAAACAAACAAAAAAAGCAAGAAAGATTAAGACATTGAGTTGGGGGCCGGGGATATGGGGATATAGCTCAGCGGCACAAGCGCCTGCCTGGCAAGCGCAAGGTCCTGAGTTTGATTCCCAGTACCAAAAAAAAAAAAAAAAAAAAAGACAGAGTTGGACCTCAGTGGCGGGTTGACCAGGTGACAGGAGGGAGGGCAGAGCAGAGGACACTGATGCCAAGGGCAGGTGGGTGGAGAGGAGCTTGCAAGAGCCTCTTCTGATGGCTTCTATTTTCTCAGCAGAATGAGAAGCGAGGAAGTGGGCCAAGGAAGGAATGGGGGAGGCCCTGGTGGATGGGAGAGGGGGTAAGGGTTGGAATCTGTGGGTATGGGGAGCGCATGAACGACAGAAAAGGCAGAAGGCTGGGCGGCATTAGGGGCCCATTGGAGGTTAATGGTCGTGAATTTGAAATGCAACCAGGTTGCCAAAATCAGCGGGCTGTTTTTTCCAGCTGCGTTGAACTGTTTGGGGCAGGCTGACTGAGTTTGTCAAGGCTCTGCTTTTGTTCTTGCTTTCTTTTTTGTGGCACTGTGAGCATGCTAGCCCGGTGCTCTACTACTGAGCTGCAGCTTCAACCCCTGAGGGTCGGTGTTTTGCCAGACAGGTGCGACAGAGTGAGAAAGGATAAGGGTATATGCTAGGGATTGGGCAAAACTGATTCTGAAATTTAAACTGTGTAAGGGGGGAAGTGAGGATGTGAGGGTAGGCTCAATGGATCAATGGATTGGGTGGGTCCAGTAAGACAGGATTCTTGGGGTCAGGCCTTTTCCTTGACCAAACTTTAGCCTCCCCTGAGCCCTCTTCTCAGCCAGGCCCCAGTGCCCCCGCCCCTCCCAGGCCTGTCTAGATCAGGCTGGAGAGAATCCCTCACCTTGCACACTGGGTCATCCTGGGCCCGCTGTCTGCAGCACGAATCTTATTAAGTTGGTTTAGCAAGAAGACCATGCTTTGGGTAATTTTCTTTTCTTTCTTTTTTTTTTTTTTTTTGCTTTTGGTAATTTTCCATCCACCGACCCCTGTTGTGCTCATCCATTGGCTATAAACACCCAGGTGTCCTTGCTGCCTTCTGGTTGAGTCTGATCCTTCCCCTGTTGCAATGGTCTTGACAGAAGCGGTATCCCTGAAGGAAGTCATCCTTACCAATGAAACCAGGTACACACAAATTGTTTCTTCTTTTTTCTCTTCTTGTCTTGACTTTTATTTTCTTTCCTTCCTTCCATCTTTCTTTCCTCCCTATGGTACTGGAGACTGAACTCGGGCTCTCATACTGAGCTATATCTCCAGCCCTTATTTTTTATTATTTATTTATTTATTGGTCTTTTTGAGACAAGGTCTTGCTATGCAGTTCAGGCTGGGCTTCAGCTCACTTTATAGCCCAGGCTGGCCTCGAACTTGCCTGGCCTCAAACAATCCTCCTGCCTCAGCATCCTGAGTGCTGGGTTTTTCTTTAATAGTCATACTACGAGAGGCAAACTGAAAGAAAAGGGGCTGCAGATATTGTTAAAGACAAGGTCTAGGGTGTAATAGCTGGAGAATTGTGTAGAACGGAGGATGAGACCCTTCACTCAATCACAGAAGTCTCATTAATGCCTCATCAAATTTGTGACAGGTGCATGGGCAGCAGAGATAACTGCTGAAGATGCCACAGCTTAGCTGCTCAGAACCCCTCTCTCAGATGACCCATATTTGGGGTGGGGTGAGCTCTTTCCTTTCCTACAGGAATATCATACTTTGTAGTCATGGACCAGTGGCAAGAAAAACTTCATTTTCTGAGGCTCAAATGACAGTGTGACCATAAAGGCCTGTGTAGAAGTTAGAAATGTCGCTGGGAGTGGTGACATACACCTGAAATCCTTGTACTCTGGGAGACTCAGGCAGGAGGATCACAAGTTTGCGTCTACTCTGGCAATTTAGTGAGATCCTTCTTTTTTCTTTTTTTGTCTTTTTGAGACAGGGTCTCACTATGCAGTTCAGGCCGGGCTTGAACTCACTTTGTAACCCAGGCTGGCCTTGAACTTGCAACGATCCTGCCTCAGCCTCCCCAGCACCAGCATGCCCATCTTGAGACCCTATTTCAAAATAAAAAGGATCTGGAGGGATAAGCCAGTGTCTAGGTCTTGGGGTTCAAGCCCCAGACCCCAATAAATAAATGAAAAGTAAGGAATGATTATAATACTCCAAGTTTTAAGTGTCACAATCTTTTTTTTTTTTTTTTTTTTTTTTTTTGAGACAGGGTCCTGCTATGCAGTTCAGGCTGGTCTTGAGCTCACTTTGTAGCCCAGGCTGGTCGTCTCGAACTTGTAACGATCCTCCTGCCTCAGCCTCCCTAGTGCTGGGACTATAGGCGAGCGCCACCACGCCTGGC